GCCTTGGGCTTTTTTTGCATTTGCAACCAAGAGAACTAATTTAATAATTCCTGTGAGCTGAGCAATTAACAAGAGAGCAGGATCAAAATACAATACAATCAAGATGTCTTGAGGCTTAAAAACATGTTGTATACACTAAAACATTAGGTAATGAATTGAAAGAGAAATGTGGTGACTGTCAAGACCTTAGTCAGTGGTCTGCAAACCCAGTGAAGGAAATATCTTCCGTGCACAGAACATGAAGATAAAAAGAAAATCACAGAGGTAAAAGATAAGACACTTAGAGACCCAGGAGTCATAATATACAAATAATAAGAGTTTGTACTTAAAAAAAGTTGTAGGTGTACTTACTGGTATAGCCAGAAACGTGAAATAAGGTACTGCTGGTTTGCATCTGTGGTCTCTGAAGAGTGGACACAGTAGTCAGCCCAAGTAGAAGGCAAACAGAAGGCCACCAAACATGGCTGTTCTCCTGGGAAGACAGAGACCTCCTTTCTGTGGCCTGTAGAAATGTGACTGGTACCAGGTGAACTTCCTGAAAATGGCTGAATGTCCTTGGCGAGTAATATCACAGAGGGACCCTGATCCTTCTTGGAGCAGATGCTCCAAGGCAATAGGCCTGGCAGAGCCTGTCATCACCACGCGTGCCAGCACACACAGTCTTCCTGAAGAAACATCCAGAGCATGGCTTCAGCAAAATAAGAGAGTAAATGGAGGAAGTCATAAGTTCCAGAAAAAGGGAGATTTCGATCCAGAAGCAAAGCAAAGGGAGTGCCTGAAAAGAGAAGTTTCTAGAAGGAAAGTCTTGACAAGAAACAGGAACTGATAAATTTCCTAATATGATTAAACTTGTGCAAAATTGTATTGAGAAGCTTACGATAGGCATGGGAATAATTACATTCAGTGACAATGAATAGACTTAGTGAATGCCCTTCAGTAGCTAAGATATGATACTTTTCTACCATGAACTATTATCCAGCCATTACAGGAATGAATTAGAACTCTACCAGGCGACACGAAGAGATTTCCATTGTGTAGTTGAATGAGAAAAGCAAGATGCACATATGCACATGGAATTTAAGACTTGTCTTTGTAAAATATGGACACAGAGAAAACCTGCATTGGTAGAAGATAGTGGAGGGGCAGATGAGCAAAACAGTCAAAGGAAAAAGGGAAGCTTTTTTAAAGCAGGCATATGAACATACTCTTTTTGTAAAATTATATATGCATATGGTTACAGCTATAAATGAATTATTTTAATGGGGAAATATTTGCCATATTAAATGAATAAATAGCATGATGTATATAAACTAAATAATGTACAAAAGCCAGAAAAGGAAATCTTAATAGGAAGAAAACGGTTGTGTTGGGGTTAGTTTCTTGAGTGATTTCTTCAAAATATTCCTTAATTTTGAAAAAAAAAGTAAACTCGTGGATTTTGTTTCAAGAGTATAATTAGGTTGGGGGGGTTGTGGTGGCTCATGCTTCTAATCCTGACATTCTGGGAGGCCGAGGAGAGCGGATTGCTTAAGGTCAGGAGTTTAAGATCAACCTGAGCTAGAGGGAGATGCTATCCCTAAAAATAGCCTGGTGTTGGCTTGGCACCCATAGCACAGTGGTTACAGTGCCAGCCACATACACCCAGGGTGGCGGACACCTGCAGTCTCAGCTACTTGGGAGGCTGAGGCAAGAGAATCACTTAAGCCCAAGAGTTTGAGTTTGCTGTGGGCTGTGACGCTATGGCACTCTATCAAGGGTGAC